GGGGCGGGGCGATTTGTGTTGTTGACTAGTAGCAGATGGGTCAGTAACTCAAATGGCACAGAAAGTCATTGCAGCTTTGCAGATATATTTGGAGGATATTTATATTTACGTGTGTGGCTTTTTAATATATAATAAAAGTGCATACATTGGTTCTATGTTTAAGTGTACATGCCAATGTAGTATAGTATCTTGTAAAGTTAACGTTTTAATTAGCTATGCTCTGATATGACATTTACTTAATCTTCAAAAGCAAATAATTTATTGATACAGGTAAATGTAGTTTTAAATTGTACAGGTAAATATAGTTACCCAAAATCACTATAGGCAGTTGAGATTATTTCATCCATTTTATGTCATTTAATTCATCTAGTTACCCCTTAGTTATAAATGCCTGATGACATAAATAATACTGACCAGACAGATTTCTCAGCCCAACTGTTACTGTGTGGCTTTCCTCTGATAGTAAATTCTTTTAACGTAGGACGGTTTGACACTCTGATTGCATCATAGGGTGAGACAGTAGGAGGGAAGGGCCATGCCTTTTTTTTTGCTTGTGTTTTTCCCAGCAAGTGTTTCAACCTCAGCCCCTCCACCCGCCCAACCATACCGATGCCGTTCGATGTTGAGACGTTTCGCTTTGGCTCTTGTTCTCGCCACCTGAGACTTCTTAACGCTTTGTCAGATCTGAGCTGTTTGTGCCAGGGCTAAACTTTTGTAAACTGCGAGCATTTGTCAGAATGTTTTTTTTACTCTGTTATTTTTTTTTCCTTTTTTCCCCTCCCTCTTTTCATCATCAATCTTTCACGGTGGCTGGCTGGTTGGCCACAGTCGCTGAGCAGTAAGGAGCTTGTCACGGCTTCAGGGAGTACAGCGTGGGGAGTTTGACTGGCCTCTTGGGTCCCGCTCTTCTGCCTGATGGCTATTAGTCACTGCCAATTACCCACAATTCTTTGCAGGGCCACAGACTAAGTGACCTGACGCTTTGCTCAGTCTCACGTCTGTCACGGTGCGATTCTCAATGCCTTCCAACATGTGCGACATCATGGCATGTAATCGGTGTTTACCTATGCAGGTTGCCAAAACATTTCCACATGTCCTCCATCGGTCGAGCACACAGATGGCCCCGCCCACACTTTATTCTATTGGCTAAATTTTGAATATTAAAATAAGTTAATTAACTTTATAGGAGAGTTTATAGGTAAACAAACGAGTATATATTGGAGGTTGGCTGTCACGCATTAACAATTACACCATTGTAGTCATCAGATTGGTTGAACGACACTGTATGGATGGATTTATAACCGTGGCTGTTTTGGTTTTATCCCATTTCAAAGAAAATCCAATGTACAGGAGTTGGAGACAAGAGTGGAGTGATAAAAGTTTCATTCGGCCATGCTGAATGGCTCCTGTTGTAAATCATTGAGGTTGTTTTGTAATGAGAGGTGAATGCGAGACTTTAAATCTCTGCGCATGTAAGCTGAGATTTTCATTCCCCGAATACACATACATGCAGACTGAAAGCAGCTCTAGAAACCACCCACCTACATGCATTCATGAACATTCACAGCACTCTTGCCTCTATCTGTAAAAGTTGTTCTACAGCTCATAATCTGAACGTCTAGCCATTACTGTTCCCATATTGCACAGGATATTTTTTCTCTCTCTCATAGATCGTCTTAGTGTTACATCAAAATTTAATGTGGCTTTATATAATTGTCAGTTCATTGTAGGCCTGGGTGGTATCTAAATTTCGATACCGTCAAACGACATCCCTATTTTAATCCGGTATCCGGTAATACCTTGCATTGTAAAAAAAATAATAATAATTGACGTACGACTCAGATGGCGTCACTAAACTGTTGGCTTGTGCCTAAACCATTCTTAACTGAACACACGCACACACACACACACACACACAAACACACAAACACACACACACAAACAAACAAACAAACAAACAAACAAACAAACAAACAAACACACACACACACACACACACACACACACACACACACACACACACACACACACACACACACACACACACACACACACACACACACACACACACACACACACACACACACACCATCCACGCGCGTGCTTGCTCGAGAGCGATATTGTTAGACCGCATGCCCACTCCCTTTCAAATTACACCAGAGTTACCGAACGCTCCCGCGCTTTATTCGGAAATCCATTCCCGCACCGCAAGAAATCTGGTCGGCTCCTGCGGTACAGCAGCGGGAATGCAGACCTCTAGTTCGTATTCACCACGTCTCGTTCGGTCGTAACCGGAAATACTGCCAAACTGCAGGTCACATGGTGCGCAACTCGCCAACTCAACCTCACACCATCTTTTACAACAACAACAAAAAAAAGATGTCTGCAGAATTGTTGCAAACAATTTATATGTTGAATTTAAACAAACAAATTAAATTGAGTAATGTTCAACGAAAATAGTTTGTTTAAATTCAGCCCAAATACATTTTTTACAACCTCTCTTTATTTAGTAAATCCAAGGAATCATCATTGTTTTCTTGTATTTTAGATATCTAATGCATCTAAATGTTTGGTTTATTGAAGTAAATTAAGTAGCAGTAGCATTGTTATTCTGAAACTAAACTCAAACAAAAAGACGCTTCTCTTTTTCTCATTTGGGTTTTTGTGAAATCATAGGATTGAAAAGTATCAAAAATCTTTTATTTATCATTTATTTTTATTGTTATTATTTTTGTGACTGCTCAGTTAAATACCATTGGTATTTTGGGGTCCTAAAGCATTACAAATGGCACATTATACTAATATTGTTTCAGGATTTTGTGAAAAAGTTTACCTCATTTACATGTGCTTTACATGCTTAGTCTATTGTCATGTCGGAGCACTTGACAACCAAAACGACAATAGTGAACTACAGGACCATGTGCCTGTAGACGTTTAGTGTTTGCTACAAAGTGACATCACCACCTACTGGCCTGGCGTGCAAAATACAGCATTTTTAGTCGTTTTTAAAAGGAGTTCTTAAAGTTCAGTGAAGAAGTTGTAAAAATGTGGATTATTTTATTCAATGTTTGACTGTTCTCAACCGAAGAAAGGGTGGGACATAATGGAGATCCTCCCCTTTAAAAAAAACAAAAACAAACAAACAGCCAATAGCGTTTTGCTTTATCACGGCTCTGCCAGTAATTAGTTGAGTAGTTGAGATAAAGTGATCAAATGTGAAGTGTCTTGAAGGGGCGGAGCATGTCAGATACTAGAGAGCCTTTGATTGGTCGTGATTTGATGAGAAATTGAAGTATGAGATGACGACTGACGTACTGAGATGACGTAAAAAAACATTGATCAATTAGGTGGAAGTGACAAACTACATGCTTTAAATATTTGTATCAGTTTTATATCTTCTAAATGTGAATCTTGTCATCGTTTTGGAGCACACTAGCTTAAAGATATCCTTAAAACAGGTACTAACATCTAAAAAAAATTTGTTTAATTTTATGGGACCTTTAATATTATGTTTTTTTATGTTAATGTATAATGTTAAACAGTATTTTATTTATTAGCTTATTGAAATGTTTTGCCTTTTGATATTTATAGTCTATGAATGTTTATTCAATCATACAGTTGCTAAATCCAAGCCCTGATATTTTGTGATGTCATTCAAAAGTTAATGTTTTATTGACAACTTTTACTGTTAATATATATTACTGTTAAAACATTTGGGTTGTGAGGATTTTATGAGTCTTTTACAAATGCAGTACAATGAAATATTATTATTGAAATTTTTAATATCTGGTATCCATTTCAGTGATTCCATATTCTGCGATTCCTTAAAGTTGTTGTTTTATTGCATATTTTTAGTCTCGTAATAAAGTTAAAGTCAGAATTATTAGCCCCCCTTTGATTTTTGATTTTTTTATTTTCCCAAATGATGTTTAACAGAGCAAGGAAATTTTCACAGTATAACTGATAATATTTTCTCTTCTAGAGAAAGTCTTATTTGTTTTATTTCGGCTAGAATAAAAGCATTTATTAATGTTTTAAAAATCATTTAAAGGTCAAAATTATTAGCCCCTTTAAGCTTTTATTTTTGTTCGATAGAACGAGCCATCATTATACAATAACTTACCTGATTACCCTATCCTATCTAGTTATAGTTAAGCCTTTAAATGTCACTTTAAGCTGTATAGAAGAGTCTTGAAAAAACATCTAGTAAAATATTATTTACTGTCATCATGGCAAAGATAAAATAAATCAGTGATTATAAATGAGTTATTAAAACTATTATGTTTAGAATTGTGTTGAAAAAAATCTTCTCTCCATTAAACAGACATTTGGGAAATAAATAAACAGGGGGGCTAATAATTCTAACTTCAACTGTATATTACTGTTAAAAAGTTTACAAATACGAACTCTGTAATATTATTATTGCTGTTTAAATAACTGTTATCCATTTCAGGATTTTTAAAATGGTTACTTACACTCATAATTTAATGTTGAATTTTCATCAGCGATTATTCCCAGCGTATAATGCTCCTTCAGAAATCATTCTGATAAGTTGATTTGATGATCAAGAAACATTTCTTATTGAAAACAATGTGGAAACCTTGAGTTCTTTTCCCTTAAGACTGTTCAATGCATAATAGAAAGTTAAAGAAAGAGCAATAATAAAAATGTAATTATAATTTTCTCAACATTATAAATACCTCTGAATGTAAATACTTTCAGATTTAATATTTCAAAATTTCTTAAAATAAATCCAAAAACTTTTTCGACATTCATGTACAAACTGTTGTGCGTTTCCCCCACACTGTACACACGCATGGCTGCGTTTGTTGTTAGTAACCTCTCTTTAGTCTAAAACTCCTCAGTCTGAAACCTTTGTCAATGAAGCATCCATGGATGAACTCCTCGCATTGCAAACCAGACAGTCTAACTCTCTCTCTCTCTCTCTCTCTCTCTCTCTCTCTCTGTCTGTCTCTATCTGTCTTTTTTTTCTGTTCCAGTGGGCACCCCATATTACATGTCTCCCGAGCGAATACACGAAAACGGATATAACTTCAAATCTGACATCTGGTCGCTAGGCTGCCTGCTCTATGAGGTAAGGTATAGAAACCCATCCCATCACTCCCTCCCTCTGCCATTTATACACCCCAGCCCTCCCAAACTCTTCCCAAGCTTCTGTCTCCTTTTGAGAGACGCAATCCTACACCTCGCGGTCTGCCGGGGCGAAATTACAATTTGGTTTTATTCTCCAAGGTAGGATACCTGGAGTATGTTCCCAAGCCGATGAGGAAATTTGAATGACATTTACATGTGTTTTAAATAACATGTCCGGCTCTTGCTGCTAAATGATACCGACTGCTTTGATTAGGGTTTAATAGCGTACGCTGCTTGATGTAGAAGACTAGGATTCATTTGTTTCAGAGCAGCAGTTTTCTCTTTAGTCCACAGATTAAATTGAAAGTGAAGTTGCAAAAAGGTCAGCAGGGTTTTTTTGGGCGTAGAGCTAAACGTTTGGAGCTCATAAATATAGGTTGGTTAAAAAAAAAAAGAAAACTCTGTCATTTATTTACCTTCAGGTGGTTTTAAACCAATGTGTCTGTCGTCTGTGCACTCTTAGAAATAAAGGTACAGGAGCTGTCACTGTGGCAGTACCTTTTTAAAAGATACATATTTGTACCCAAATATTCCACAGTGGTACCTAAAAGGTGCATATTAGTACCCATATGTACCTAAAAAAGACCTTTGATATACTATTATGGACCCTTGAGGTACAAATCTGTATCTTGTATCTTTTGAAAAGGTACTGCTACAGTGACAGCTCCTGTACCTTTATTTCTGAGAGTGTGGGACACAAAAGGTACAAACTCCTTTTAAGCAATGAAATGTGATATAAAAGTAAATGTAAACCGGGGCTGTCGGGTTTAAGAAAATACCTTAAAAAGGTAAATTTGACTCCATTCCGAATCTTTTGAAAACATTAAATAATTTTTTTAATGACGTTGAGGAAGTTGTTATTCATTAATAAGCTTATGTTAGGGTGAACAGGAATTAGATCGTTGATTCAAAGTTGATGTTGACAACCAAATCTGACAATTTGTGAATTAATCATTGATTATTAATATGATAACTCAAGAATGATTCAATCACAAATTAGACGTTGCTACTTTTTGTCGTCATAAATGCACCAAGAAGAGTTACAAATTTTCAGTGATTAACTACAGGCTTTGGTCTTTTCAGAGTGATACGCATGCTTTCGATATAATCACCCTTAAGCTGCAGTCACACTAGAGTTTGGTCTTGCAAATTCTGTAATACGGCGCTGTGATAAGGGCCGGGTTTAAACAAGATGATTAGACATTTAAAAAAGCGATCGCTTGGTCCATGTTTTAAATTTCTGTTTTGATCCTCGATTGGTCTCATGCAGTCAAGTGATGCGATTTCACAGGTCAGAGTTCACCAAGCTTAAACTTTGCAACGCAGTGAACTGCGAAACTTGTCACACGAGGTTGCATTTCCGGTCTGACACATTCGCGTGCAAATAAATGCAAGACTATGAGGAGAAAAGTCCATTGTGACCGCAGCTTATACATAGTGAGGGGTCCCGTGACTCCACACACAATAATCGATAAAATCAACCTGGGAAAATTAGATCGATTATAGGTTCTGAATTTCGAATTCGTTGAATCCCCTAGCCCTAAACCATAGAGCGAAACAGATGGCATAATGGGAAAATGTAAGTTTGCGTACTCCTGGTTGGAGAAAGACAAGGGTAAACAGCGGCATAAGCATGTGCCTGAAAACAATCACGTAATTTATTCTTTCGAGCTTTGTTTTTGTCTGAGCTTATCTGACTTCTGTTGTATGGTTGTGCTCCATTGATGTATTTAACTAAAATTGTTTAACTACAACTGGTTATTGACAACTGTTTATTAAGTTAAAGATTTGATACTGATTAAAACTTAAAGTGGCGATGAGGTCTTAAAAATATTCTGAGAAGATCTTTAAAAAGTCTTAAAAAGGTATTGAAAGACATTATAAATCACATAACATTGATTTTGAACAATAGATCCACTAACTTAAAGTAAATGTTGAGTGAGTTACATTTTTAGATTTTTTACATTTCAAAGTGTTTTTCAGAATGATGACAGAATTGACATTTGGTTGGAAATATCGCTTTAAGGCAGTAGATAGTTTGAGTTCTTATGTAACACGTCTCCGTTCAAAAGTGGCCATTTTGTGTGCTTTTGGCCCTGGTTTCCTCATAAACAGGTGAACGTGGCCACCTGCAATGGGTAGCGGCAATCTGTAAATGACACCATGCTTCATCCCACGGGACTCTCTGGCTACCAAAAACCGGTGTATAAACACACGCAAGCAGGCGCAAATTCACACTCTCACGCTGTGGAAATGGATACATTGTTAGTCCGGTACCCATTCTATCCCTTCAATCCCTTGAGTGTATTTTTTTTCTCTCCTCCACTTCGTCTTTTTTGCCTGTTTTTTGGGGGGAAGCTTACTAGTAGCTACACCTCCCAAAGTGCCTGGGGCTGAAAAACAACCATCTGAGTTCACCGCTGCTTGGAGACACTGTTTCTTGGCACTAATTAGTCTCCCATAATGCACCAGGCCCATCAGTGTGATCAGTCTGCCCTGCGTAGCGATGGCAATGGGTCAGCCAAGTGTAGGGAGAAGGCAAACGGGGAACAGTTGTGATCTCTTAAGCTTCTGTTAAAGCCAGGTCTGGGCTTGGCCTCGAACAGATCGGCGCTGTCGCACCCCTGGTACACAGAGACTTTCATCTTGTCCCGTTTCCAGCGGGTCACGTGACCTGGAGGGGGTGGAGAGCCAGGAGGTGATGAATTGACATCTGTTTGAGTGACAGATCTGATGAGCGGCAAACCCGGCGGCAGTCGCTGTGATGTTACAGTAAAGCGCTATTTTTTTATCTTCTTTTATTATAATTGAGTTCTCAGTTTATCATGAGGATGTGGAGTATTTTTTCATTTAACAAATCAAATGACAATTAAGATTTGAAATACATATATGATAATATGTGTATGCATGTTAAAAGAAGAATGGCTGAAGAAAAATTGTCTCTAACTAAATTAATTTAATTAATTTATTTTATTTTGTGGAGATCAATTAAAAATTGTTTTTTTTTTAGCTTTTTGTGTTTTTTTTCCACATTTTATTTATGTTTTATTAAAAAATAATTAACTTTTTTTATGCTTTTATTTTTTATGTTATATTTGTTACTTTATCAAGGTTCAATGCTAAGGATTTTTTTCTGATTGGGCCAGTGTTTCAGATTTTGAATTAAAATGTATGATTTGATGTAAATTATATAATATAATAATAATAATAATAATAATAATAATAATAATAATAATGATAATAATAAATATATGTATATATATATATATAAATATATATATATATATATATATATATATATATATATATATATATATATATAATATAATATATATATATATATATATATATATATATATATATATATATATATATATATATATAATGTAAAACGCGATGGTTACAGGAGATTGGTCTAAAATACAGGATACTCCCAGGATAAAACAGGAGTGTTGGCAGGTATGCTTACCAGTTAGATAATGTTTTGATCTGCTGTAGTTAGAAATCAGAATGTAAGCGATAGGGCTTAATATGTGGTTCTGTCGCCATCTTGTGGAAAGAAAACTTCAACCGTCTTTGGTCTACACCAAATTTAAAATTTTGAAATTTTAAAATAGGCACTATTCTTACAAATAAACTGCATAGTTGCAATCTAAACAACTACATTCTTGACTAAAAAAAGCCTCAAAAGTACATTTTGTTGTCTAACAGCAGTAATATTTGTCAGTAATAATCAGTAATATCAGTAATAATTTTGCTGGCTGTATGTGGGCGGAGTAATACGTAACACAAAGGGTAAAAAGGCTGTATGGGTGCTGATGTTACTTTAATATCTCATGGCTATCAGCCAATCAGATTTGAGAACCAGACAGAACTGTTGGATAAGTATATACTAGGGGTGTAACGATTTATTGCGATGCAAAAATGTCTCTATGCATCGTGGTGTTATGACGATTTGATTACGATATGACGTCCGTTTTCTCTTATTAGTTGAGCTGTCTGCACGTGAGCTACGTTCCACCTGCTGTCGCACATGAGTTCAGATTGCAGCAGCAGTAATGTTAGCAGACCAAGATGAGTGGAGTTGAAATAGAGGATGACCCATCCTCTCAAAATCAGACGTCTGGCAACATTTCGGTTGTCCAGTCATTGCTTAAGACTCGTCCGCTTTTTGACACGCATACTGGGTCAAACATCCTAAGTTTTAAAATCTTCACAGTGATTTACATACTTTGCACAGCGACATGGATACCTCCTAATGGTGTTGAAAGAGTCACATACTGTATTTATAAGGTACAATTCACCCTAAAATATCATTCTGTCTTCATATAATGATGTATTGGCGGCCGCAAAATCACACATGACGTGAGCTGACCGAGAGCTGTTACTACAGAGGGCGGACTATGATAGACGCGCGCCTATGGCAAGCCTTTTTAGCATTTAAACCTTTGATCTGACTATCCATAAATATATTTAGAGATATCTCTAATTATATTTTGACTAGTCATAATTATAATTCGACTAGTCAAAATATAATTAGAGATATCTCTAAATGAATTTAATTAAATATGAACTAAATATATTTATGGATAGTCAGAACAAAGTTTAAATGCTAAAACGGCTTGCCATACGCGCGCGTCTGCTTCAGTGAACAGAACCTGCAGGTTGTGAATACTAAAGTAGTAAACAACATTCAGTTTGTGGAACAGAGTGATCTTTCAGGAGCCGCGTGGGAAGTATGAACAGCACTTAGCAGTGGAAATGAAACCGAAAACGTACACATTATTTAAACAATCATATCGCATTTTAGAGTTATGATTACGACGAGCATTAACCCTTTTGAGTACAGAGGTACATAAAAATGCACGTCAACATGATACACTTGATAGCGCCGACATCAGCGACGCCGAGGAAATAGTAAACCTGCCTAAACTGCTGAAA